AGAGAGAGAGAGAGAGAGAGAGAGAGAGAGAGAGAGAGAGAGAGAGAGAGAGAGAGAGATTGGTGACTTTGGGACTTGACGACATTTGGATCTAGAGTCCACATTGGGATTGAGACATTGGACGAGGCATTATTTGGGACATGTACCGAAGACTTGGTGTTGACGACATTCCGATCTTCCCCTCTTCTTCGTCTAACCCCCCTCTTCTTCGTGTGTGTATGGTTGGGGACTTGCGCATTCTTCCTGTGTGAGCGTCAGGCCCCTTCACACCATGGACTGATGATGTATGTTTGGTCTGCATTGCAACATTGATTGTTTGAATCATTGGTATATTAGCATTTCGCTGCACTATCTTGTACTATGTGAGAGAGGTCAGTTCTTATTCTAGTCTGTATCGTTACGGTATGCGACAGGAGAGCAGTAGGGTAGTTCATGGAAGTTGCTGCTGCCTCGGGCGGATGGTGGGCTGATTAGAGAAGATGTTTCTCGCCTCAATATCATTTCACTCGCAGGAGGTCAATCCTTCCCTTGTGTAGAGAACTAATCAATGCCCCCGCGCTCTTAGAATTCACATCATCACACTATATTGCATAAATGCATAAAGGACTCTGGATTCATAAAGGACTCTGGATTCGTTGTTCTGATCATATACCGCGTTGATAGGGTTCTTTTCTACGGTTGATTGATTTTGAGCACACACATCACATAAGTGGTAGGGTTTCGTGTGTAGATTCATTGATACACAATACATACAGGCCTGTCTATTTGGATTTCGTGGATGAATCACTTTGTTACGATTTTGTGGCATGCCCACTCCGCAATAAATAGAGATTGACAAAACATAAGTGGTAGGGTTTCGTGTGTAGACTGATTGATACAAAGCACATACAGGTCTTTCTGTTTGGATTTCGTGGATGAATAACTTTGTTACGATTTTGTGGCATGCCCATTCCTCAATAAATAGAGATTGACAAAACATACATAGACAATTTTAGATTGCTCTATAGGAATATACAATCATCACTGTATAGGGACGTTGGATCCATTTTCCAGCTCATACACATCACATCATTGTATAGGGCCGCTGGACCCGATTTCCAGCACGTGCAGCTCCCCACCAATAGATGGAGCCTTCAACGCAGGGGCCTACTTATCGGGGATGCTCTGATCATCTCGGTAAGTAGGTTTTTCCCACTCAGAAGTTAAAAAAAAAAAAAAAAAGTGATAGTGAACAATGATGTGTGGAAATGTCATAGTGCACATCTAATACAATCTGTGTGTGTTTTGTGTGTGTTCACACCTCTACCTATATCTCCGAAAAGATCTGAGTCATTGATTACTTCACTGCATAAGGGAAGGATTAACCTCCAGCCCATGAAGTATAATCCTAACGAAACACATCTTTTTTTTTTTTTTGGAGAAAGATCTTCATCGATCCCAACAAGGAAGTCAAACCAAAACACGAAACCCTAAGCAACCCACCTCCGCTTGGAGCCCAGCACCAGTATATGTCTATCTTATGTTTACCAATCAATATATGTCAGCGAGGGGGGGAACCTGACCACCTTAGCAACCATACCACCTTATCAACCATATCAACCATATCTCCATTATGACAACGAGCAGAGGCTAATCGCCCTTCTTGATTGAAATTGTGGGCCAGGCAATTTCAATCAACTTCGACTATCCTACACCTGTCCTCTACCAGACAACAAGCAGCAATTTCATATCAAGATTGGAGGGGGGAAGGATAGAACACCACTTTGTTTCCACCCCAATCCCCTTCCCACTGCTTATGAGAGGGGATCCGATTTATTTCTCTCCACATCATAGGACAATCCCAAGCTAGATCAAACGAGCCTTGGCGCCGGAACCACCTTTCAGGTACCGGCAACTGTTTAGAAGGTGTAGCCTCCCATTGGGTCGGCACACCAATCTTAGTAGTATACAATATCAGAGGGGTATAGACACCCTGCGCCTTCATACCATGCATCAGAGGCTCAAATGAGGACTTCCAACAACACTCCATCAGTAGATCCTTCAACTTTTACCTCCAAAAGAAAAAACTTTGTCTTCAGCAGAGCCCACAGTGGTGGGGACTTCTGAGTGCAGCCGGTGTTTCTTTTTAGCGGTGTTTCGATTTGTTTTCCTTGTTTCCGCATAGTGGAGAAGCCGCGGGGGGCACATTTTTTCCCCTACCGCATGGCGGTGACAATTTTCTTTTCATTTGCAGTATCCACATGACAGCATCCCTTTCCATGGCCGCACAACAGGGCAAATTGCCGAAGCATCTCAGCTGGTACACCCATGAACTTTCAAAAAAGATCCTGGAGTTCAGATCCAAAGAGAGTGCAATACTTCTGGATTACTAGGAGCCAATCGGGTCAATTATAATGTCACAAGGCCTTCGTGTTTTCACTTTCCTTTTTTGCCCGAAGGACGGTCCGGGACACATATGTCTAGTGAAACACAAACGAAAATATCCACACACACACACACACACACACACACACACACACACACACACACACACACACATGCATGCATCACCAGTGCTAAACGTAGCTGTCAAAGTTTACCATGTTGTATTTATATCATACATACGGCGCCGTGCGCACGGCGCTGATCGCCGATGCACGAAGGGGGGGAAAAAAAAAGCGGTCGTGATGTGTGTCTACACGAACGAGAGAAAAAGAGAGAGAGAGAGAGAGAGAGAGAGAGAGAGAGAGAGAGAGAGAGAGAGAGAGAGAGAGAGAGAGAGAGAGAGTTTTTTCACATTATTCAGAAAACCCCTGTCGGTACTCCGAAAGACCCCTACCGAAAATTAGCAAGACTTCCCTTGCCAAGAAAGAGGTAGTCATTGGATTTATAATAGGGCAGTAGCAGGCCAAATATATATGGTGTAGCTTCGAATTTAGGTTCGTGTTTCAGCAGTTATAACTCAGCATGTGATTTACTCCACTACTCACCAAATGTGCAAAACTCGTCAAACTCAGGTTAAGGCTTCGGTCCACTACTCTTTTTTTTTTGGGGGGGGGGGCGGTGGGGACAAAGCTCCAGTCTATTCGTGAGAAGCAGCACGTGCTGGGAATCGGGCCTAGCATCCCATTCAAGAACATATTAAGAAACATATGCAAAACAATTTGAGATACCGGGGCCATTACCCAACTTTGTCTAGGA